TTAGAAAGGATTTAGAAGAACTACTTTGACCTAGAAATGAACGATTTAGGGTTTGCTCAAGAACAAATGATGAACTAGGTTTTTTAGTATTAATGATCGATGCCCTAGAAATAGAGGCATCTTCTTTATTTATACAAAGGATCTAGGGTTACAATAAATGCTCCCCTTCCTTAGATTTACAGAGGATATTGTCATAAATATTCAATTAGGGTTTTCGAAGCCCTACTGTCGCGAGGTCGTTTATTCCATTTTAGGAATGAACGCACATTCGTATTTAAACAACAATAAACCGGGATTCCCAGATTTATTGGTATAATTTGATTTCGTCTTGGTTTAGGCCGGTATGTCGTTGGTGCTAATTCCTTCACCAACAATAAGTCCCCCCCAGTTCGATGGGTCGAATGTTCATTCGAATTATGGAACTCCTAATTATGCCTGACCTAAGTTAAGAGGAAACGAATCAAATCTGATCCAAATCGTCGCCTATCTTGGAAACGTTGCCACGTGTCACTCGCTTATGGAGCGGCGTATAGGTCGGAAGCCGAAGCGTCGCCTAGGTATTCATTATTTCTTCGTAGGTCTGTCTCCCATCCGCTTCTATAAATACTCGCCCAATGTCTTTCATTTTCCTCATTTCCGCTTTTGCTGGTCAAAAGGTAAAATTTAGCTCTGCTCTCTCTCTCTCTTCTCCTTTAATTTATCACTGCCGGCCTTTCAATTCTCCGATCGTATTTCGACTACTCCGACAATGGTGAGGTCGCATTCTTCATCCGATAGTGAGATCGCACCTCTAGTTCGCTCCGGTACTCGTTTGACTCGTCGTTCTAGTAACGAAGCTTCATCGTCTCGCCCCGTTCAGGCTTCTATTTCCGAGCTGACCGAAATTCCGATCCGAGATGGTAGGAACAACGCCACTACTGCTGCTGAGGTCGGTGAACCTTCTAATCCTATTCGTTCAGAGGGCGAAGACCGTTTTGCTGTCTCGGGGATCTACTTGAACGACATCCAGCCTATTCTTGATCATAGAGGTCGGATCGGTGGAATTTCGACTTCCAGTACTATTAAGAGCATCAACGAGATGCTTACTGCATGTGGTTTAGCAAGGTCCGGGGTTAGTATCTTGATTCCGCATAAGACCCAACGTCCTTGGACTCCTCCAAAGGGGTACATATGCTTGTACGAGATGTACTTCCCCCATTGCCGCCTACTGTTTCCTCTTCCCGAGCTCTTGTCCCAGTACGTCCATCGCCGTCAACTGGCGATCTCTCAGCTCGCCCCCGCCAGTATTTCCAATGTTGTCGGGATATTGACTCTGGCGTCTGAAGTTGGCACGAGGATTCCCGTTGCGTGCTTCGAGGAGATGACGGTGCTGAAGAAGTCCGGGGTCGTCGGCAACTTCACCGTGACCATGCGGGAAAAGCAAAACGTTATCCCCGGAACCCGAGTCAGCAATTTCAAGGGTTGGGAGAAACGCTTCTTTTACGTTCGAGCTGACTACCTCTCAATCGAGAATCCTTTTGTTGGGTTACACCGACAATGGAATAGTAATCCGGTATTAACCTGCACTAACTTTAATCTCCTATACCGTTCTGACTTGACTCCTCGTTTTTCTTGCAGATCGAATCCGACCTCTGTCCACATTTCCTGTTGAGTACGCTAATATCATGGACAAGCTATTTGGTGGGTCAAGTCGCGAGTGGAAGCTATTTACCCGAGAACGAGTTGAGGAAGCAATGGGCAGGATCCCGAAAACGTATCCCAACTTTGCTGAAGAGCTGGCCAAATCATTCGGCACCTCGGTTACCGCCCTTCAAAGTCGGGATACGGAGCTCTTAGGTCCAATTATGGCACCCGCGGATTGTGGATTTGGCAGGGAGCGAAGGTGACGGGGTTGAGGTCCCCGCGCAGGAGGAGGTCGCCTTACCAGCACCCGTGATTGTGGATTTGGCAGGGAGCGAAGGTGGCGGGGTTGAGGTCCCCGCGCAGGAGGTCACTGCATCTGAAGGGGACGCCGCTGGGAAGAAGAGCAAGAAAAAGAGGATTGACAAGGGCAAAGGCACGGTCCCTAGCTCCAGCGACCGAAGTAGTCGTACAAGATCGGCTGAAGAGGCAAGTTTGGAGGGAGCTGACTTATTCCGAGTGACTCCGAAAGACCCGAAGACAGACAAGTTCTGCTTCGATTACTTTTGGGAGAACTCTGTTGCCGGTGATCGCCACGCTTCGGCAGAGTTATGCCGAAATCTGAAGTTCTCTTCAGAAATTCTTCCCGACCTCGACGCACTGGAGTTCAAGGAAGACTACCTGAACTATGCTCGATCCTCGCTGCAGGTCTGTCCGTTATCCTACGATAGTCAGCTTTCGCGTTTTCTTCATATCTTGACGACAGTTTTCGTTTCTCCTTTCTTTTAGTCGATCGCCTATGGCAACGCCCTCTTCTTTAAGTACGAGAAAAGGATGAGGTCGCGCTCGACGACGAACCATGCTTTCCTAATGATGGAGAAGTGCGCCCATGAGGCTCAAGATAAGGTGACAATGTTGCGGAAGAAACAGATGGCCTCGAAAAGCAGGCCAAGGTTAACGAGGGGGTCATTGCTTCTTTGGAAGATACAATTGCCGACCTACGGGCCAAGAACGCGACCCTCGATGCTGAGAAGGCGAAGGCAGAAGGCGCCGTGGTCGAGCGTACGAGGAAGAAGGCCCAAGATCGCCTAGATTGGGTGAAGGCGTTTCTGGCTGAGCAAGAGGTCACCGTTTGTCCGATGGAAGACCTGCTGAACCAGGCTCTTGGGGTCGAGGCCACGATCGACAGGCTTGTCAAGGAGTGCCATGCTCAAATCCCCGAGGAGGAAATCGCCAAGATTAAGGTGAAGAAGGTCGAGTGTAAAGAGGTTGCAGACACGCTTGACTATCTTGTCCTGGAGCCCGCCGACCTGAACATGTCTCCGGACCAGCTTGGCTATGGTCTTCTTCGGCCTGAGGATCCTGCTCCCAGATCTATCCGAGACCCGCACGGATCAAATGCGGCAGCCTTCTAGGCCGACCTCCGAGCTCCTGATGGCAACGACGACCCTCCTTCCGATCCGGGCAATCTTGAAGATGACGTAGAAGTCGTCTAACTCCTCTTGTTCGTCCCTCCCTTTTTTGTTTTAAGAGATTCTAGAACTTGGGCCGCGAGCCCCTTTGTAATATTTTTGGGATTTTACTTCTCCACCAGCTTGCTTTCATTTCCTCCGGAAAGCGGAAGTATTACTTTTTCTTATTTCCTTTTTTCGTAGAAATAGAAATATGCTCCTTTTACCATCTTGAGATTGGCGATTTTCCCATATTGTATTGTCCCAATTACCAATATCGCTTGATGAAAAGGGGCAACGCTGGGTATAAATATGCTGCTTGGCTGGTGGTTCTTCAAAACATCCTCGATTTAAAACTTGTGCCTTCTCGTTCTTCCAATAAGCGTTATGGAGAAATCTGGTTTGACCGAAAGCGACGGATCCTCTCCGTCCGCCGGTGTCGACACGCCTACTTTCACCCAGAAAGAAGCGCTTGATCGTGGGATGCCCTTGTTCCCGACGATAAGAGTTCCTAGAACTTTAATGTCGCGAGTTTCTCGACAAGAAAAACTCCGGCTAGAGGAGTTCTTCCAGGCCGTGTATGACAAACATACGCAGTATTTCAAGCAATTTCTCATCGTTGACGAGATCAGATCGGCTTTTGATCACAAGTTGAAATTGCTGGAATCCCACTCGAGAAATTGGATTTCCTTCGGGTTTGGGCACATAGCTCCGATGCCGACGAGCCTCTACGCCTCATGCGAGCAGTGTATGCGGGACGTTGACGCCAACCGGAATGCACCATCCCTCCCGGGGGTTGCACGATGCCTCGAATTTACGCCATCAGGCGTGAAAGCGATTCTCATTGGCAACTCGGCTAGTAAAGCCAAATCGGATGAAGTCGAGGCGTTCGTCAAGAAGGTATCTGTCCCGTTCCATCTCTCGAACATTGGTATCCCGTTTTTGGAGATCTAAACAACAATCCTTCTTTGTTTTAGGTCCGGGTCTTGCATCAAGAACAGTGCAGGAATCTGCAGTTCTTTCGTCTGAAAAAGAGAAGGATTGACGTTCGTTTAGACGAGTTGGAAGAAGAAGTCGCCAAGCTTAAGTCGAAGAGAAGGAAAGCGATTCTCAAGCTTGACGAGGCGGAGTAGAAAACTCGGGCGTTGGAAACGGAACCAACTGACTGGGAGCGAACTGGGATGCAGCTGCTTTGGCCAATGCCGGATCGCCTTCTGCAAGACACGCGCTAGGTCGCCGCTATTGGGGTGAAGGGTCCAGTAATCGTGGACTAGGCGATTTGTGCCCCACCCCTTTTCTATTATTATTTGCCGATGTACTTTTATTTTGGTGTAACACCATCGAACCCTTTCGTTTCGTCCAATTTTGAATAAAACGAACCATATTTCTGGGCACTTAATTTAGGTCGGAATTACATGACTTGGCGGGACGTCTCCCAGCTTACAATGTCATAATTCGCCACAATTTAAACATATTTGGAGATATCTCTAGGCTCCGAAGTGAGGGTTTTTTTTCCTCGAGTATAATGTACTTTATCGGAGGGCGAGATATAACTTTGGACTCGGCTTACCTCCTTTGGTGCCGGTTCGGATGTGGGTTGCGAAAGGTTGACTTCTCTGGGTCGGCTAACTGTCCCACCCGAATTAGGGACCTTTAGGTGCGAAACATTAATCTCTGGGTTCGGCTTATTCCTAAACTTAAGGATTTGCGCGTTTGACGCGGACCGATCACCTCGCCAGGTTGTCGGAGGTGTATATATACTTAAGGATTTTTTTTGAACACTGCGGAACACTGATATGGGAATGTCTGAAAGCTGCGAAAAAGTGATATGGAGATGCGTGAACACTGCGGAAAAGTGATATGGAGATGCGTGCCCCTTCAATGTTTGGACATACGGTGTATGTTGGTTGGGAAGTGGCTTGCATTTACTGCGGGTTATGGCTATAAATATCCCGCTTTGGTCTCCATCTTATTATCACCAAGGAGTTTCTTCGATGGCCGGATCGTCCAGAGGGATTGTTACCAACTCCTTTCTCCGTGGAGGTCGCCGTTTGATAGCACAACTCGACGAAGATGAGGCCAAGGCTGAGGCCTACAAGGCCCGTATCTGCAGGCTAAGCATGCACATCCGGTCGCTCTAGAAGCGTCAAGATCCAAAAGCCGACCTCGAGCGATATCTCGGGGTTGAGGATTTCATCGAGAAATCCGTTTTGAACCATGGACTCAATGATGTCCTTCGAGAACGTGCTTTGTCATCGAGTCATTTCTACCGCCTACACTCCACTCTCGAGCGTATCAAGGTCTCGTGGCTTCAAGAGGGTGATCTTGATTAGTTTGATGAGCCTCTCGTTGCGAGTCGGGGGCGTCGCGAGGAACTAGAGGGATATTGCGCCCGCATTGCTCGGCTATGTGACTGTATTGTCGCTTTCAATAGTGCGGCCGAAATCGTTCATTAGAGGATTCGTGCGGAAGGTGTCGAGAGTTTCCTTCTGCTGATGGTCTCCGAAGGGGTTCCGATCAAAAGAAAGATCCTCAAGCTGGTGAGGCAGGCAAGTTCCTTGTGGGCCGAAGAAGAGGAGAGGTATCCTCTTCCGCAGTTGCACGATGGCGACACCGACCTGTTCCCCAAATTTGTCGATTTGGGGAACTAAGTGGGTCGCTTTGGCTTGCGGTTATGATGAGTTTTTTTTTGTATTATCGGAACATGTATTTTGCTTGTAACAAAAGCTTTATGGAATAAAACGGGATTGTTAATGACAGTCGCGCATTCTTTCTTTATTTTAATGGTTGCTAGCTGCACCAAGTGTCATGGTTGCCTACGTACCTCTTTCGAGGATCAAGCAAGTCGTAGTTCACGGTACATCAAATGAAAGCTCGGATTTCGGAGTGAGGTATCTATCGACCTTTGTGATCGGATTTCCAACCTAATAGTAGAACCTTTTGAGGTGGGTCGCGTTCCAGAAGTGTCGCACTCGCTGCCCTTCCATGGTTGACAGTTCGTAGACGCCTGGATGGACCCGCCGTGCGACGATATAGGGGGCTTCCCATCTTGCTCCGAGCTTGCCGGCATTGAGTTCCCTGGTATATTCGAACACTTCTCGCAAAACTAGGTCGCCCTCATTAAAGCGACATTCTCGGACGGTCTTGTTATATTGGTTAGTTTATCAAGCACAAACTCATATTGGAAAGAGAAATTAGTACACTTAGCTTGCAACGAGGCGATATATTCTAAGGTTTTGTTTTCACTTTGTTCTTCCTTATTGCTTGAGCTTTGCTGATTTTGAACGGCTACGAGTGGTTGAATCTCTTCATTCTCTTTATTATTGTTCTTAGTGTCTTCTTGGAGCATCATTGGTTTCTCTTTTAAAGCCTCTTTAGTTTTCTCATTCTCATGCTTCGTACTATGACATTGCTTCGCTTCATCGCATGATTCAAATGATGGTTTTAGACTTTGCTTGTGAATGGCAACTTGTTTGGTGACCTTCTTCGGTTGAGATGTTGGTGTATCCTCCATTTTCTTATTTTTATAGTGCTTGATCAACTTCTCAACAAGGGCTGGCTGCGTCTTAGCCTCCACGGGTGCTGGGAATTTTTTTTGATCTTGGAATAAGGCTGGTTTCTTAGCATTGGCTTGTGGAGCATATTTATTCATTAACAGCTTCTTAAGATCTCTCCACGAGGTGATACTCGGCTCCTTGTAGTACCAGCGATAATCAACTTCTTGCAACCACCATTGGCGAGCATCTCCCACGAGTTGGCTAATGGCATAAGCTAATCTCTTCTCTCTCAAGATGTGGTTGTAGTGAAACCACTCGTCCATGCATTCCTCCCATTTTATGTAGTCACTTTTTCCTGAAAATTTATAGGGTTCATTATCCGGTTGAGAATCGGAATAAAACACATATTTGGATTTGGGAGTGTGAGTGTAAGAGATTTTATGGGGGCTGCTCCATGTTGATCTCATTGTTTTGTCTGTTGGTTTTGGTTCCGGGTTGACTTGATGCTAGTGTAGAGCACCAATCTTTTCATCGATCATTGTTGTCATGGCGGATGTGACCTTTTGAAAAATCCTCCTTTCAAGGCTTGATGTAGATGACTCTTCTTCTTCCTCACTTGTCACCATTGTACCTGAAAAATCAAAAATTTAACAAGTAAACAGTCCAAAAACACACAAAACTAAACGGATCTGGAAAAATATTAACTCGACTATAAAATTTCTGAAATTAATTTTAGAAAATAATAGACTCTTTACTGGTTCTAATGCAATTGATGTCACAATTTTTGAACGAGCCAATTAGTTTATAAAATTCGCGCAATATTGAACAAAAATCTGGAAAACGGAAATTTCGGGATGGAACTTCAAAACCTGGTTACAAAGTGGCTCTGATACCACATGATAGACTCCTTGCCGAGAATCTAGACTCCAAGGACCACTGTGATGGTTTTGAAATGGAAGTGGCGAGATTGATGGTGAATAATGGATAGACCTTGAACAAAACAGCGGAATGACGATGAATGAGGGTGATGACGAGATAGAGTGGATGCAGCGGAATGAAGGGGAGAATGAGGTGTACTTCAAAGAGGGATGAGAAACTCTTAGACTACAAGCTTGGATCCAACTTAGATATTACACACTTTTCGGATCAAACAAGTAAAGAGAGAGTTTTAGAATAAAATGTTTGATGTTTTGCAAATGAGAGATACATGGAGTTTATATAGAGAAGGGAGGACAAAGGAGAGGAGAGAAGAGAAGACATGCAAGAGCATGCACAAGTGTCTTGTAAATTACACTCATGCAAGCTCATGCAAGAGTCTTGGAAATAACAACAAGTAATAAATGCTAAGTTGAAGAGAAAAGGGAAAATGGGCCAAGGCTTTGTGAGTGGGCCTTGGACCACGAATTGGATTGATAAAGGGGCTTGAAAATGTTACTTAAGCCTCATTAAAAACCTTGTTAAGAAAACCCATTGGGACAAAACTTGACAAGGGAAAAAGAGTGCATAAGCAACACTTAACCCTTTACCAATCCTCTTGAGCCGTGATCACTATGAGTGAGTATTGAACGACATCTTCTTGATTCTTGTTTAGCTCCTTAAGAAGTCCATTGATGGCTTGGTTAAACTTCTTAGTTCTTGATCTTGTTAGAGGACCCGCCGGGACGATCAATGCTTCCTCCGGTACAAGCTGTTCTTCGTGGCCGGTGGTTCGTGAGTGTGTGTTCTCGACTTCAAGTAGCTCCTCGTCTTTGTGTGGTTCAAGTGAACTGGCCATGATTTCATCATCCTCTCCCACTTGAAAAGGAGTTGACCTCAAATCCGAATTATCTGCAATCTCTCCAACACCTTTGGCCAAAAGAAAGTGTATTATCAAAGTCCTTGAATCATGAGAAATAAATCGAGATGAGAAGTTACTTACCTGAATATGGTCCTTGGCATGTTTAGAGTTTTTTTATCTTCATCATTGGATCTGGGGGTTCTTCTTGTATGAGAATGACGCTTAGACGTCTTGATGTTTAAACTTTTCCAGATTGTGTGCCTTGAACCGTTTATCTTCCTCTCTCGTTTCATTTCGTTTTAAACGCTTCAAGACTGCCCTAACATCATGAGTTCGTTGCTTTGGAGATTGGTTGTGTATAACCGGTGGATTCTCCTTGATTTGAACATCACAAATGAGTTCTTCTCCAAAGTACCTATACTCTTTTATGTCACCTGCTTCTTTTTAAGCACTCATGAAAAAGAACAAGTGCATTATACTTGAAATAGAAAAGTGAAGAATAAGCGCATTATACTTCATAGTTGGTTTGCAAAGCTCATGGAACAAATTTGATTCATTCATCACGCTTTCAAGCAAATGAAACATTTCAGAAAAAGGTTTAATCAATACATTCTCAGTTTTAAAAGAGTTAAAATCACAAAGCTCATCAAATAGCACATCTTTTGGTTTAAAGAACTTTTTAAGCGGAAATGTTTCAAAAGTTGGGAACATTTTTTCAAAAACAGATTTTGAAATACAAAATTCTTTCATATTTTCCAAACCAAAACGTTTTTCATCTTGAGGATAAATCGACACAAACAAATTAGGACCTTTCCTAATGAAATCAATTTCCTTACATTGCTTTCTTGGATAGTCACAAGGAAATGGCATACGAGCATTTTCTGGCTCAAAGTTAGAAGGCGGTTCCAACTCACGATTCAACGATATACTCCTTTGTGTTTTTCCTAGCGTTGCTTCTTCATGAAACTGTGAAAAGGAAACAATGCTACTCGGTTGCTCCGGTTCAAAATTGGTTAGTTTATCAAGCACAAACTCATATTGGAAAGAGAAATTAGTACAATTAGCTTGCAACGAGGCGATATATTCTAAAGTTTTGTTTTCACTTTGTTCTTCCTTATTGCTTAAGCGTTGCTGATTTTGAACGGCTACGAGTGGTTGAATCTCTTCATTCTCTTTATTGTTGTTCTTAGCGTCTTCTTGGAGCATCATTGGTTTCTCTTTTAAAGCCTCTTTAGTTTGCTCATTCTCATACTTCGTACTATGACATTGCTTCGCTTCATCGCATGATTCAAATGATGGTTTTAGACTTTGCTTGTGAATGGCAACTTGTTTGGTGACCTTCTTCGGTTGAGATGTTGGTGTATCCTCCATTTTCTTATTTTTATAGTGCTTGATCAACTTCTCAACAAGGGCTGGCTGCGTCTTAGCCTCCACGGGTGCTGGGATTTTCTTTTGATCTTGGAATAAGGCTGGTTTCTTAGCATTAGCTTGTGGAGCATATTTATTCCTTAACAGCTTCTTAAGATCTCTCCACGAGGTGATACTCGGCTCCTTATAGTACCAGCGTTAATCAACTTCTTGCAACCACCATTGGCGAGCATCTCCCACGAGTTGGCTAACGGCATAAGCTAATCTCTTCTCTCTCAAGATGTGGTTGTAGTGAAACCACTCGTCCATGCATTCCTCCCATTTTATGTAGTCACTTTTTCCTGAAAATTTATAGGGTTCATTAGCCGGTTCAGAATCGGAATAAAACACATATTTGGATTTGGGAGTGTGAGTGTAAGAGATTTTATGGGGGCTGCTCCATGCTGATCTCATTGTGCTGTCTGGTGGTTTTGGTTCCGGGTTGACTTGATGCTAGTGTAGAGCACCAATCTTTTCATCGATCATTGTTGTCATGGCGGATGTGACCTTTTGCAAAATCCTCCTTTCAAGGCTTGATGTAGATGACTCTTCTTCTTCTTCACTTGTTACCATTGTACCTGAAAAATCAAAACTTTAACAAGTAAACAGTCCAAAAACACACAAAACTAAACGGATCTGGAAAAATATTAACTCGACTCTAAGATTTCCGAAACTAATTTTAGAAAATAATAGACTCTTTACTGGTTCTAATTCAATTGGTGTCACAATTTTTGAACGAGCCAATTAGTTTATAAAATTCACGCAATATTGAACAAAAATCTGGAAAACGGAAATTTCGGGATGGAACTTCAAAACCTGGTTACAAAGTGGCTCTGATACCACATGATAGACTCCTTGCCGAGAATCTAGACTCCAAGGACCACTGTGATGGTTTTGAAATAGAAGTGGCGAGATTGATGGTGAATGATGGATAGACCTTGAACAAAACAGCGGAATGACGATGAATGAGGGTGATGACGAGATAGAGTGGATGCAGCGGAATGAAGGGGAGAATGAGGTGTACTTCCAAGTGGGATGAGAAACTCTTAGACTACAAGCTTGGATCCAACTTAGATATTACACATTTTTCGGATCAAACAAGTAAAGAGAGAGTTTTAGAATAAAATGTTTGATGTTTTGCAAATGAGAGATACATGGAGTTATATAGAGAAGGGAGGACAAAGGAGAGGAGAGAAGAGAAGACATGCAAGAGCATGCACAAGTGTCTTGTAAGTTACACTCATGCAAGCTCATGCAAGAGTCTTGGAAATAACAACAAGTAATAAATGTTAAGTTGAAGAGAAAAGGGAAAATGGGCCAAGGCTTTGTGAGTGGGCCTTGGACCACGAATTGGATTGATAAAGGGGCTTGAAAATGTTACTTAAGCCTCATTAAAAACCTTGTCAAGAAAACCCATTGGGACAAAACTTGACAAGGGAAAAATAGTGCATAAGCAACACTTAACCCTTTACCAATCCTCTTGAGCCGTGATCACTATGAGTGAGGACTGAACGACATCTTCTTGATTCTTGTTTAGCTCCTTTAGAAGTCCATTGATGGCTTGGTTAAACTTCTTAGTTCTTGATCTTGTTAGAGGACCCGCCGGGAAGATCAATGCTTCCTCCAGTACAAGCTGTTCTTTGTGGCCGGTGGTTCGTGACTGTGTGTTCTCGACTTCAAGTAGCTCCTCGTCTTTGTGTGGTTAAAGTGAACTGGCCATGATTTCATCATCATGGTTATCCGTCCGCGAGTTGGCGAGCCCGCGCGCTGCGGTCGTTGCCCTCTCTGCCTTTTCGGCGGTCCCGGCAATTCTCCTTCCTCATCATTCTGATGCTCGGGACTTCGTCTTTCTTCAGGTCGATCTTGCCGGTCGGGGCCGTGCTCTCGATATTGACGGGTCCCCTGACTTTGGCCTCGACCGCGCCCGCGCCTTCCGTCAGGTTGTTGTCCCCTATATTCCTTTGGTTGGAATACAGCTTCTATTTCGCCGGACTTATATTTGTAAGAGAGATGTTTGCACTCTTCGGTTAAATGTCCGGCGAACCTATGGAAGGTGCAATACGACTCCTTGGACGTTGTTTTTTGGTTATTGACTTCCTCAGAGATTGCGCTAATCGTACCGCGCGAAGCGTCCTTTCC